CACTTTCTCCTGGAAACCTTCACTGACTTCAACTACTGCAAACCCCACTCTCACAGGCTCCCACTTCACATGACAAATTATCACAGTGGAGTTGCATTTTACATCTACGAGAATGGTTTTTTTTGTTGTTGTTTAATGTTTATACCCTCTTGGCGTTTTAAAGTATGCATTTTGAAAGTCATAGAAGCGTACACTTAAGATGCATGCATTTCGTTGTAGGTAAATTTTATCTTTAAAATGATGATTAAAAAATATTGAATTCTGGCTAAATGATATACACGCTGAACAGTTTGGGTGTAAAGGGGACAGATGCCTGCAGCTTGCTCTGAAATGCACTAAAAATGGGTTGGGGGGGATGGATAGATGAATAAACTTGGCAAAGCAAAAAAGAGTCAAACGTGATTTGGTGGAATCTAGATGGTGGGTGTTACAGATGTTGAGTGTCGCATTCTTACAACCTTTCAGTACTATTAAAATTTTCATAGTAACACAATGAGGGGAAAAGTTCAGTGAGAGCAGGGGTGACGAGTGTATTACGTGAAGAGAATTCATTTCTATACTGTACATTTTATATTACTAATCATAATGTTCTGTGATTTACTTATATTTTCACTTGATATTATGTCATAAAAATCTTTCTTTCGACGTTAGATAGATAGGTGTGTATGTGTGTGAGAGAGAGAGAGGAAAAACTATTTTTTTTAATGTCTCATAGATATACTATTATGTCTTTAACTTTCACAGTATTCATGAACATCTGAGCTATTTTCTATTTTTTCCCCGTTTCCAATCATTTTCCAGTACATTTCATTCAACATGGACCTTTTGTACTTTGGCTTGGAGGTTCGTCACGTTTTTGAGGTTCTTCTAACCCTCACTAGGGTTAGATCTGCGTCCACTGCAGCACACCAGATGCCTCCCCCAGCCCCATCCAATCTTCCCCAACCTGCAGGACACACAATTTAGCAGATACCCTCCGCGGGCAAGAGTCACAGGTATAAGAGAATAAAAAAGTCTCCATTCAGACTTTCCAGCAGAACTTTTTAAAAAGACCTGGATCATACAAATCATTACCAGTAGCATACACAAAGTCTCAGAAGACAAGCAACATTAGCATGAATTAATGGGTGTGTAAGGCAGCACATCAGGGGTAGAGGATCAAGTCTGTGTTGCAGAGAAGTATATTTATGCCATGTAGATACTTTATCAGGTAAACTTGTATAATCCATCAGGACAATCTGCCCAGTTTATATATGTGCAGCATAAGTCTTTTTTTTTTTTTGCAGGTTTTGGCTGGGGCCAGGTTTGAACCTGCCACCTCCAGTGTATGGGGTCAGCACCCTACTCCTTGAGCCATAGGCACCGCCCTGCGCAGCATAATTCTAACTCCAGCAATCATCTGACAACCACCACTCTGGCACTGAGGTTAAAGAGGTTAAATTCCTAAAAGGTGCAGAGGTTGGCAGAGTTCAAATTAGAAAGTTTAATCATAAATATAGAGGATTAAGGATAACACTATAAGAAGCCACATTAAATAATAAATGAATGCTATATTGGAATGCTCTGCATTTCAATGTAAGTTCTAGGAGGCATCGATCTTTAAGTAAGGAAGATATGGCAACAGGCCCCGTAAGATAACCCTTCCGGGTCAACAACTGGACCTGTTCAGGAAAATGAACTCTCCAAATCGTTCTTATTAAAGTTTTTGAAACAGGGCTTACAGGTTTGGAACTCACACTCTCCTCCCTTGTTTCATTTTCACAGTTAGCAAAGTGCTCGTGTCATTCCCCAGTCACTTCACAAATTAGGAGGGTGCTTAAAAGCATGTTTTTCTGGGCCAGATCTGATACAATGGGTGTGGGGGAGGGGAAGTGTAAACAGATTACCCCAAAGGTTCATCTCTTTCATCTCAAATCTTTGCATCTGTGTTCTTCTGTTTAAGGGGATTGATCTATGGATCTAACCAGACTGCAAAATGTTCAAATATAAGACCTGCATTAATTTAAAACGTTGGTTGGTAAAACTAGAGTTGCAAAGGATGACTGTATGTTTTAAAGGATCATAGAGGTGTTTGTTATTCTATTTTGCTTTCATGACACACTGCGGTTTTCATCTATGATTTATTTGATGCTACATCTCCAGTCTGGAACGGAACTCTCAATTATTATAACAGTTTCCATGGAAACACACAATCTATTCTCTCTCATTCTCTCACTGTTCCCCAATGATCCATTTTCCCACCACTCCACTCTCCCCAACACACACACCCCATCTCCAATCCCTTCCATAAGGCCTTCTGAAACTTTCATTCCTCCATCCAAAATTCTCTAACCTATATTGTTAAGTGATATTGTTAAGTGATACATGCATGGTACACTAACTTCTTCTGAGTTAACAAGGACAAGAATAAAAATGTTAAATTAGCATACAGAGACGGGAAAGAAGCAAATTAAATTAACAACCGTGTTCACACTGAGATGGCAGCTGCAGCAAGGGGTCACAGAGAGATGTGAACCTGGGTGACTTCTCGATGTTCGTCCTTCTAATACAATTTTAATTATGAGCCGTGTGTACATACCACTTATTAGAAATAAAATTTAAATCTCATAAAACTTCCCCAAAGCCTCAACATATTAGAACCTCTTCTTTATCTTTGAAACCTAAATATTCTTCCTAATATTTTAAATACCTTGGCATCATCCATTTGGTTTTCATCCTTAGACTTCTAAACTCCTTTTTTCCCCAGTTAGGCAATGACCACCTTCCTGCTAGACTTCTTAGATACCATTTTCATTCATTTATCCAACACACTCTTCCTGAGCACCTGCCATGAGCCAGGCTCTGTGGACCTGCAGTGAGCATCTCTCTTCCCAGAATCCTTAACTCCCTTGGGTCCATAACCTTCCAGCTCAGAGATTCTGCTAATCTTCACTTCAGTTCAAATCTCCTATCTTCTCCAGCTGCACAAAGAGGGCTGCTTAGAGCTACCAGCAAAATCACACAGTGCCAACTGCCTATTTTCTAACCTTAGGGACCTCAGGACTGCTCAGCAATCTTATTGGGTATCCTTACTCTTTACTACCATTCCATGCCAAGGATCTTTAAACTTTAGACCATCAGCTCAGATCCCTTATTCCATCTCAGCAGATAACCTTACCACTCACAGAAAAAAATCCGTGCATTCAGTCATTTGATCTAGAAACAGAATAAAGGCAATCCACAGACATTGGAACACAGCAGTGGGGACCAGGACACAGAAGATCCCTACTCTTAGGTCTCTTGGGTTTTTTCTTTTCTTTCTTTTTTTTTTTTTTTTTTTTTAACATGGAGTCTTACATCTTGCTTTGTTGCCCAGGCTGGAACAAAGTGGTACAAATATAGCTCACTGCAGCCTCAAACCACTGGGCTCAAGCAATTCTCCCACCTCAGCCTCCCAAGGAGCTGGGTCTACAGGTCGGCACAACCATGCTTGGCTAATTTTTGAAATTTTTTGTAGAGATTATGTTGCCCGGTTGGTCCTGAACTCTTGGGTTCAAATGATTCCTCCCATTGTGCTGGGATTATAGGGATGATGTACCATGCCAAGTCCTCTTATTGAACTTAGAAAGGGAAGATGGACCAACTAACCAAAAAAGAAACAATGAAAGTATCACCCAGTCATGAGGGTGGTGGAGAATGAATGAGTGGCTACTTTGAGCAGGTGGTCAGGGAAGACCCTTCACAAGAGGTGATGTCTAAGTTGAGATGTGAATTACAGGAAGGAAGCAGCCACTCAATAAGTGGGGTGGGGAGTGGAGAACAGCAACACAAAAGCTCTAAGGGAAGAGGGAGCCTTGTGTGGTTCAGTAACCCAAGAGCCACTGTCGGACCCAGAGCACACTAGGTGATGAGAAGAAGCAGAGGACAGGGGCTGGTACATGTCTGGGACATAATATAGAATTGATTCTAATCATACTGGGAAGTCATCAGAGGGATTTAAGCAGGCAGGAAAGTGCCTTGACCTAATATGAGCTTTAACTACACGTCTACTTATGGCTAAGTAGTCAATATATTGATTATCAGTAACAAGATCGGGGCGGGGGTGGGAAGCCAGTTAGGAGCTTCTGCACTTATCCAGGTGATATTAGATGAGGGTTGTACATGGCTCAGTGATGATGGCAAGCTTAGTGGATGCATGATATGCTTTGAAGGAGCTGGTAGGGTTCACTGGTGGATTGTACATGAGAGGAGCAGGGAGGACGAGAAGGAAAGAGAGGAAACTCAAGGATAACTTCCAGATTGGGGGCTTAAGCCTAGAGATGGGGGAGAAATTTGTATTTTTTACACACCTGAGTTCATGGTATGAGATTTATGCCAGACATCTTTATGGTCCACAAAGGGATTAAAAGACTCAGAACAACACTAAACGAGTCAGGAATCCTTGTAACACCATCTCCACTCCAGTAGAATAGCGTCTCACGGTATCTATAAAAGCATCTAGAATCACTCTATGAGTCTCAGGGTCATCCTTCCACTGTGCTGCTGTTTGAAAGGAACCATTTCCTTTCTTGGCTGCCAGGTTAATCTTTTCCAAAAGACAAATCTGATCGTGTCACTTCTCTGTTTAGAATCTTTCAATGGCTCCCCATCGTGCTGTGAATAAAATCCAAATTCCTTCGCATAGCTCCTAAGGCTTTGCGTCATCCAGCCCCTGCTTACCTCTGCAATGTCACATCCTATAACTTCCTCCTGCTTTTGGCCCCAATACCTTCTGATGACACCGAGAATGCACCAAGCCTGACCTCAGGCCCTTTGCAGATGCTGTCCTTGCCACTGAGGACATTCTTTGCTAGCTCTTTGAGAGCATAGCTGGTTCTTTCTTATCCCTTAAGTCTTAGCTAAAATGTCACCTCCTCGGACAGCCTGAGTGGGTCCTCTTTTGATCTGTTTGAGACAAACAATGTGCCTGACTTGTTAGATGTTCCTTCCAGAGCAGGTGCAGCCACCAAGTCACACTGTACCTTGCCAAAGCTGCCTTTCCCCAGCACCATCAGGAAGTTAAAATCAGTCAGTTTCATCCGGTCCCTGTTGCCATTGTTGTCAAACTTGGATATGGTGTTGGTCGTCTTTTCTTCTGGAACCTTGGTTCCCTGGCCGATCTTGGCCCTCTGGAGGAGAAGCACACAGAGAACATTACTGTGGTTTGAGGACGCCCATGTGGGAAGACGCGGACACACTGGGAGCTGCGGTTCCTGCAGCCCGGGCATCCACAGCAAAAGCCCAACCCCACATCCTCCACTCTGCACGCCTGAAGCCTGGAGGCCGTCCAGGCACCTCCATCTCCCTTCAGGTCATATCCATCACTAGGAACTGTCACTTTTCCCTCCCAGCTGTCTCTAGAATTCATTTACTTCTTTCCAATTTCCCCCCACCACACCTGCCATCACGGCTCACCTGGACAATCTACACTGAATCCCTTCACACTGAGTGTCCCCTCCAGACCTCCTGCAGCTACAGCCTGAATGAGCTTACCCAACCAAGTCAACTCCTGCTTAAAATATGTCAGTAGCATCCCACTGTTTTTAAGAGAAAGATCAAAGTCTTTTCACTGGCCTCTAAGATCAGGCCCTACCTGGCTCTCCAACCCCATCCCTTCTGGGTCCTTCTTCCCTGCAAATCTGCTTCATTCTCCTTTCACTGCCCTGATGGTCCCAGGCTCCTCCTGCCTTTGGAGCTGCTGCTGCCGCCGCCTCTGCCTCCTGCAGGGCCCTTCTCTTCCCCTCTCCATGCTGGCCACCTGCTGTGTCTCATGCTCACTTCCTCCGGGAGGCCCTCCTCGATGCTGTCTGAAGCACATTTCCTCTATCTGCTTCACTTCCCATTAATAGTAGACAATAGCTGTTCACTTGTTTCCCTCCAATAAACTGGAAACTCTACAAGGACAGGGAGTATTTCTAATTCACCGCAATTTTCCTGATGACTAGCATAGTTCCCATCTAAGTATCTGTTGAATAAATGGCTGCGTAGGACCTGTGTTTGTCCTCAGGGCAGCGGCTACCTGCCTTGAGCAGCAGGTTTGGGGCTCAGAGTGGCAGGAGATGCTCTAGGATAAGAAGAGAACAGGAGGCCAGGAGCCTGAGACCCACAGCCGCCAGGACTTTCACCTCTAGCAGAGAGAAAACTGTGGAGCTAAAAGCTGGGGTTAGAATCCTGATTCTGACATGGGTCAGCTGTGTGGCCCTGAACAAAGTAAGGTGGCTCACCGTCCCCCTCTGTCCACACATCCTGTACCATCCTGTCTCCCTCTCAGTCCTCCTTGCTGTTTGTTGAATGCACGAAACAAGCTCTTGCCCCTGGGCCTTTGCACCTGCTGCTCCTTTTGCTTGGAATAGTCTTTCCCCAAGAGCCTCATTATCTCTGATATAAGTCCTTCCTCAATACTGTTATGAAACCAATATAGCATCACCTAGACATCCATATGAATAATAAAACACAACTATAGTCCAAAAAGAAGGAGAGGGGAGGAGGGAGAGAGGAGGGCAGGAGGGAAGGAAGGAGGAGGGAAGGGACCTGGTGGGACCTAACCTATTTTGCATAATGCAATAGTACATTTCAAAATTATTAACAGTACAGTATAAATGTCTTACTACAACAAACAAGAGAGATGATGGTTATGTTAGTCTGATTTAAGCATTCCACATTGTACCCCATGATTGTACACAGTTATGATTTAATTTAAAAAGTCCTTCCCTGAACATCCTGTGTAAAATGGCTCTCAGCAATCTCTGCTCCCCTTACTCTATTTTCTCCCGATCACGTCTCACCGTCTCACAAACCATATGTTGACTTGCTTCTTGATTTAGTATCTTTCTCCTCACAACAGAGCATAAGCTCCCCGAGGGCAAGGGTTTTGTTTGTTTTGTTTTCTCCTGTTCCCCTGGTACCTAGAGCAGTGTCTGTACAGAGAAAGCACTTACTTGCATTTGTGAATAAGCCTTTCTAAACCTTGGTCCCTTTTTCAAGACAATGGAGAGAATGACATTAGGTATCATAGAGTTCTTAGCACCCTTCCTGGACACAGCTGATGCTCAGTGGACAGAAGCTATCATTATTGTTATCTTTTGAAGACAAGGAGGCAATGAAAATCTTAACCCGGTTTTGAATATCAGGGAAAATTAAATCATTCAAAAATACTTATTGAGTGCCTGCTACGTGCCAGTTGCTGAGAATACATCAGGGACCATAGTAGATGTTGATGCTCAAAGAGTGTGCGTTCCAACCAGACTGGGTCCTCCACCGTGTGTCCAAAGTTATGCTGGAGTTATCCAGGTGGAGTAATCGGTGTTGGCAATAGGAGCAGCATTTATGGAACACAGAGGAAGATTCGCTTGAGGAACTAAACACTGGTCATCTGGAGCACCCAGTGCAAGGTGGATGTGGCACAGAAGGCCAGCCTTGCAAACCACGTTCAGAAGTTTGGACGGATTCTGAGCATGGCCAGCAGCTTCTGGAAGGTTTTAAGCAGAGCTGTGGTGCAATCACATTGCACTTAGAAGATCATTCTGGGTGGAGCGAACAGACTCATTTGAAGAAAGTGAGTTTGAAGACCATTAGGAAGGGACTTCAGTTATCAAAGACAGAAAAGGTGGGGTCTGTATTTAGGTATGTGCAGTGTAGATGGATGAAGGGAGCCGGTTTGGGGGATAGACGTATCACAGCTGGGTGGGAGACTGGAGGAAGGGGTAGGGATGCCAGTGTGGAGGATGGCTCCCCAGCTTCTGTTTGGGGGAAGTAGGGGAAGATGGTGGTTCTTTCCACTGAGATAAAAAGTGGAAGAGGGCAGGGCACAGAGAACCTGGGTGGTGGCTCATGCTTGTAATCCTAGCACTTTGGAAGGCTGAAGCGAGAGGATCACTTGAGACCAGGAGTTCAAGACCAGCCTGGGCAACATCGTGAGACCCCTGTCTCTACAAAAAAGTAGAAAACTTAGCCAGGCATAGTGGTACACACTTGTAGTCCCAGCTACTCAGGAGGCTGAGGCAGGAGGATGGTTTGAGCCCAGGAGTTTGAGGTTATAGTGGACTATGATGGTGCCACTGCACTCTAGCCTGGGGCAACAGGGCAAGACCCTGTCTCAACAACAACACGACAACAAAAGTGAAAGAGAAGGAGCAAGTTTGGAAGCCTGGGCAAGAGGCTGGGGAGCGATGGCCACTCTGATTCCAGGCATGTTCAGACCCCCCTTCCGGTGGGGGGCTTCTTCCTCTTCAGGTATATGGTCCCCCATCATTAAGCATGGCTAACAAAGCAGCCACCGTTTTTCTCCTTTTGTAAATAATGTTTTAAAAAATTGAGGTGGATACAGTGAAATGCAAAACTCTTAAGTGCACACAGTTCTGTGATTTTTGACAACTGCATACACTCATGTAACCCAAATCCCAAACAAAATACAAAACATTTCCATCGCCTTCCAAAAGTTCCCACTCAATCCCTCCCTCCCACCAAGGCCGTCTCTGCGCTGATTCCTATCCCCACAGGTCAGTTTCGTCTGTTCTTAAATTTGATCTAAACAGAATCATAGAGTGCATTCTCTTTTGTGTCTGGCTTCTTTCACTCATCAGAATGTTCTTGACATTCATCCACATTGCTGCCTGAATCAGGAATTCGCCCCTCTGTATCGCTGAGTGGCACTCACTGTTTATGTTTATCCACTCTCCTGCTTATGGGCGGTAGAGTTGTTCCCACTTGTGGCCTCCTAACAAAGCTGCTGTGAAACACACTCCATCAGTTTATACTGCAGGAAGCTACGTGGAGATTTAGGTGTCTCTGGGACAACGAAGGGGCATAAGCAGTTACAGATGTGGATTTGGGGTTGAGAACAGATAACCGGAGACAGAGATTTGGGGGTTACAGGCCAACGGGGTAGTTAAAGCTGTGAGATAATCTTACGTGCAGTGCAGAACCAGCCTAGGACAGACACCGCCCTGCTCTTCTTGAAGCTCTCTTGAGCCCTGAGTTTTGGCCAGGCTGGCCTGATCCAAACCCATGCCTCCCCCTCTCCCCACATCTTACTGCTTTATTCCTCTGTCTCCCACTTTTTTCCCTCTTTCTTTCTTTCTTTTTTGTGTGTTGACAGTGTCTCACTTTGTCACTCTTGGTAGAGTGACATGGCATCCTAGATCACAGCAACCTCAAACTCTTGGGCTTAAGCGATCCTCTTGCCTCAGTTTTTCATTTTTAATAGAGACAGGATCTTTCTCTTGCTCAGGCTGGTCTCGAACCATGAGCTCAAGTAATCCACTTTCCTTGGCTTCCCAGAATGCTAGAATTACAGGCCGGGCCCTCCACTTTGTTTAGATCCCAAGTTAGGACTCATCAGAGTCACATACTCCATTCTCCTGCCCGTGAAGGTCTAAGACCTCACTGTCCTGGTCCCCAGCTTCCATCCCGGCTTTTCCTGCCCGTCCACCCGTAGGTCCCAGCCTGCACGCCCAGTGAAGCGTGAGTGTGGAGCTCAACTCCCCAGTTTCTTCATTCGACTTTGCTCAGTGAACTGAGACAAGGAAAGAATTTTTTTTGTTGTCTCTAGGGGTTGTTTTTTTATTTTTTTTCTGTCTACCAAGGAAGCAACAAGTGGCTAAGAGCCTCCTCTCTCAGCCCTGCAAGCTCCCTTCTTCTCTGCTCTGAATTCGGGGCCAGTCGCCCTCTCTCCTCACTTTATCTCAGTTTGCTTTTGTAACGTTTCTCATGGGCATGTTAATCCAGCTTCCAGAATCTAGATCAGAAGTCTAATAACCCTTTTGGCCTGGTTTGCACAGTGTTTGCTATTATTTTAATATTTAATTAGCTGCCAACTGTTAGAAATCAGGACGTGTCTTTATCAAAGCCCAGACTCCTAGCTTCTTCTGAAGATGGAGATCTGGTGACACTAGGTGACACTTTCTCCCCCTTGTTATCTGCTGGCTTCTGAAAACATCAGGTTGTGTGACTCCTGACACAGCCAGTCTTCAGAGGACGAGAGCACCGTTCTGTGTCCTCCCAAACATCCCATTGTTCCAAGGAGCCCTGTGCCTAGCACCTATTCCATCAGAGAGTGAACGCTGGAAGATCGAGGCCCAAATAAAAATTGTCCTTTACCTTGCTGGGTCAGCTAGGCCTGCAGAAACAGGACACCTTGATGCATACCTGTTTACAACTGCAATTTAGAGCCCTTGAACTCAGTGCTCAAAGAGAAAGAAAGAAAACTTCTGAGCCAAGTGTCATGCCACTCTCTAGATATCACTAGGGGACAGTGGAAGCATCCTAGTGTCCTGACTCCAGGCTCAATCTCGGATGATAAATGCCGTCCTGGCTTAAACTACAGAATCCTCTGCCACCCCTACTCCTCCAAGGAGCTACTACGGCACTCCCAGCTACCCAGCAGAGGAGGCAAAGACCTCCGAAGGCTAAAAGGCCCTGTAAATTCTCCCTCAACCCTAGGAGCCCTTCCAACACCGAGAAGGAGCATGTTCTGAGCTTTTTTTTTATGTCAGGGAAGCTGATAATGATAACAGTGGTACTAGCAACCTGATATCTGAATGCTCATGACCCGCAGACACTTTTTTAACTGCATTACCTCATTCCAGCCCCACACAACCTTATGAGATAAGAAGTGCTATAATCTCCCATTTTACAGGGGGGCAGTTGGAAACTCAGAGAGACAAAGTGACTTGCTTACAGCCACTCAGCAAGGAAGTATTAGAACCGAGATCTCAATCCCAGCAGCCTGGCACACTGGCCAGTGCACTTAACCCCTAGGCTACACCGTGGTGCCCCTGGTGTTCCACTGAGACCCACCAGCATTCTCCGCTCCACACCTGGAGCTGCTCACAGCACCATCTGTGATGCTACCTGTAGGCTTAGTTTCTGGAACATGCAGAGCTCACACAGAGGATGCGCTGGAAGTGCTGGTGAGTGAATTCCCTTGGGAACAGCCCTCAATCCACAATAGAAGGGGAGCTGGCAGGTGACACCTCAGCTTCCTGCCCCTTGGAGCTCAGAGGCCTGCATTCTATGCTGACTCCCAGAGTCCTCCAGCAGGATCAAGCTCCAGTTGCCCACCGCGGCAGCTGGTTTTATAATACTCACTTACCTGGTTTCCTGCCTTTTCTTTCCTCACTTCACACTACCTGTGGTGCTGCCAGCATCAATTCCCAAATAAACTTACCTGCACTTGAACCTTTACCGTCTGTCTCTAGGGAAACTCAAACCAGGACGATGACCAGCTCCAGGGAACGTGTCAAGTTACTTAGACTCTCTGGGCCTCAGTCTCCACATTTGTAAATGAAAATTGAGGGTAATAACAGTAGCTCCCATTCAAGGTTGTTATAAAATTAAACCACGTAAGTTAGTATTTGCAAAGCACTTAGAGTAATAACTGGCACACAGCAAGCACTCTGTTAAATAAAATCTCTGACAAAGCCTTCATGGTTCATTCTGAACCATCCAAAATGGAGTCTTCTCCTGCCTGGCCCATTGGCAAGCCCACAGTCAGACTGAGAGCCCCCCAGACAGAGCCAGCTCTGATGTTCTGAAATATACCACATGTGGTGGTAACTGCACCAAGCTCACGCTACCATGAAATTCTATTACCCTGATTCTAGCAGCTCGATTTTACCGTCATTCAGAATTCCTCCAGATAAGAGGCTTGAAAGTAATTTCTGAGTCATTCCCGGGTGCTAATTGGTTATTGCACAGGGATTACATTTTTCACCTTCAAGGTCAACTGAAATTCCTCCATGGGTCTGAGAATAATTTTCAGTCTGTTGGAAACATTTTTTTTTTTAAATCAACAACTACAGTATGGAGTGATTATAATTCAGGCATAAAGAAGCATTTGCAGGCTCTTGCTGGAAATAAAGGGACACATTTTGTTGCATGCAGATAAAACAGCTCTTTCCTCCAAGCCAATTACTGACCCAGACAAATGTTCTGTTAATGTAGGAAATGTTTCCCTTGGTGTTCTGGGAAATGTCACCCAGGCTGCCCCAGGACAGAAGAAATCATTTCGCAAAACTGGGACTTCGTTGTATGCAAGAAAATGCTGGCCTTGGTTTTTCACCCATGATAGTACATTTCTAACACAGCCGCAAATGGGTACCACTTCATCAGAAAGTTGGAGAAAGAGATGTAAAGTGTTCTCCGGAGGGACTGCCTTTCTGCCTTGATTTTTTATTAAATAGCATCCCCTTCTCAGCTCTACTTTGAGGAAAGTCCTTTCACCAATTCAATTGGGCTTGAGCCCAAGACTGTGGCAATGACCTTCTATTATCAAGGTCACTGGAGAATGGCTGATAAACTCAAGGACAATGTGTTTTTTCCACTTGTTTCCAGGAAGGGAGACCCCACTGGATCAGAACTATCACCATTGTCCAGGCTGTGTGAAGGACATGAGCTCAAGGTGAGGGACCTGGGAATATTCTAGTGCGATTTCTATCAAGTTTAGAGCAAAACTAACATGGCTCTTGGGCTAAATGCCCAGATCCTTGTCAGGCCAGTGCAGTCCTGTTACTGTGACCCTCACTCACTTCCTCAGCCTTACCTTAGACTCTCCCTTTGGCTTTCTCTACTCTATCCAAACTGGCCCCTTTCAGTCTCACAGTGTCACCACAGGGCCTTTGCACATACTGTTCTTGCTGAATTAAAGACTCTCCCCTTCTCTTTTACTTGATTAAGTTCCACTGTTGTTTCTTCCGTGACACCTTCCTTGTCCTCTCAGATGATGTGACATTTCCCTCTTAGATGTTCTCAAAGAACCTGCTCTCTTTTTCACAGAACTTTACAGGTTCTTTACAGATTTTTTACATTTGCTTCTGTAATTATGTGAAGAAAAACAACAATAATAATCCACTTCATTTTAGCTATGCGGTTTAATGCCTTTTCTCAGGGTTAGTAGGCCATCAGAATTGATTTCCCACCAGACTCAGTATATTGAGTTGGTGTGAGTAAAATAATGTGTTGTCTTTCACGAAATGACTTTAAAATCACTCAATGCACATAGAATGTCAGTCCTCAAACCCATCTTCCCCCACATATTTTCTCTGTAAAACTGGGATGTGCCCTATACATCTGCCACTCCTGTACAGCTGAAAATGACATTTTATTTGTCCCCTCATAAGGGAAGGGGCTTCTCCAGCCAGCTGTACAACCCAAGGTCAGAGGCAAGGATTATCCGCTTGATGGAATTGTTCTCTGGGGAAATTCACGAAATCACCAGCACAATCGATTCCATTTGACAGTATAGCACCATCCTGCCAATAGATCCAAATTCAGATCCTATCCATTCGCAAGCCTATTTTACTCACCCTGCAAAATATCTGTCACTACTCTGTACACTTCTTTCAGTATCATTACTATACCATTTCTGTCCACAGCACCATCAAAACGATCCAGCCAGTGAATGAGTGCTGTTGAAGAAATGTCTAAATCTGAAAGAAGACAGGGAGGTTGAAATAACGTCACAAGATAGGGAACATTTAGTTGGGGTCTTGAAGGATAAATAGGAGTTTTCTAGGAGATGAAACAGCATCACAAAGGCTCAGAGTCATGAAAGTTCTTGGTAGAAACTGTGCCATATATAGCTGCAGACCTAACTGGCTCCCACTGATGCAGAGAGAAATAAAGAAACCTCACCTCAAATTTCTGCCTCAGTTCCTCATTCCCCTCACTTCCTTCTGGCGGCACGGGGACATTGAAGTATTCACCTTCCTCCTGGCTCAGTAACTTAAACCTAGAGGGAAACAAGAAGGCAGGACAAATTCCATGACTCTATATTATTTTGTTGATTAGGATATAAAACATAAAAAGCTCCACTTGAAAAAATTTGTTGAGGCTTTTTTAGTTTAATTTCATTTTGGTTTGGGGTATGTGTGGAGGGTGTGGGTGGGCTTGTAGCCGGTATATTATATATATATATATATATATACTATTCCATGGACATCAGAAAAAACTGTGTATTCTGTGTTTATAAGATGCAGAGTTTGCTCTCTCTCTCTCCAACAGTTGTCTTAGTTACCTTATGTAATTACTGTATGTTTTTACTTATTTCGGTTCATGAAGTGCTTTCCTATTCTGAAGAATGCCATGAAGCTTCCTCACCATAAACATAATCTTATCATGCTCCTTGAGTATTTATTTCCACATTTCATCTTATGTAGGTTGCCACCTTGCCATCCTGGCACTCAGCTGTATTTGGATGGCTATGAACTTGACTTTATGATGGTATTTTTCTCGGCAGCAATTTGCCCAAAGAGTTCTGTGCTCGACCTCCTGAGAAATGGTATCCCTTGGTGGTTAAGCAGAAGAGCCCAAATCTTACTTCTGTCCTTGCCTCCTCGGATAACTTAGGCTAAGTTGTTCGGGCTCTCTGAGCAGCTGCTTTTCTCATCTATAAACTGGAACACAAGTCCCTTTTTCATAAAATTGCGGTGAAGTTAAAATGTAATGATGCATGTAAAATGATAAGCACCGCGTTTGGCGTCCAGCAAGTGTTCAACAGGCGGCATCATCATCATCGTTACGACTGCCACTAACTTACTCTAATAAACGGGATGGTTTCAGTTTGCTTCTTGACCACAAAGATGTTTCCAGCTGGTGAGAGGATAAGAGTGAGGAGGGAAAAGGAACATTCTAAAGACATTTTGAGTCACGGGGGATAAAAAGACCCCCAAACGCCTGACTCCCGAAGATAATCCCTAACACAAAGCTACAATACTATTTCTCTCCCTTCACAGATCTTAGGCAGCTTCCCAAAATAGAGGCCACGGTGAGGTGATTCAAAGCAGAGATGACAGTTCAAGCCTCTATGCCTCCACATTTACTATTCAATTCTCTTCTTCCAAATTGCCACAGAAATTACCAAAAGAAATATAAAAATAAGAGAACATCTGTATCTTTGCTGGAAGTCAAGAAGAATGCTAAACACACGGCAGGAACTTCCAGAAAATTCTGCAAATTAAAGTAATAGAAGGAGAATCCAGAGCTGCGTTTGGTAAATTTTATCTATCCTCGTGCTACTTTTGTGGGTTTTGCTAAACTGCATATATATTATTTTGACTCAATGCTTCTCATTAAAACATTGGATTTTTATAATGAATTCAGTTTTAAAGGACACTTTAGATCTCTTCTTAGAAAAGAAATCCAATATCATTTGTTACGAGTAGGAAGTAACTGTAAAAAAGAAAAAAAGAACTCTGAAAAGATAAACAAATGCAAATCAATGTTATTCAAATCCAAGTAGATGATGTTGCTTACCAAGAGCTCTGAGCTAAAGCCTGCACCACCCACCCACCTTCCTTTGTAATGGGAGATCAGCAAAGGGTACGTATTAAAAAGTGTTAAAGATATGCCAGAACACTCCAACACCTTCTCCTTCCATAATCTGAAGAACTGAAGGAGTACTCACAAAAGAACAGCTTCCTCAGGGTACAACTCAATCGTATTTATGCCCTAAGTGTCTACTAACTAAAGTCCTCTGGTTCATCCCTACAAGCTCTGAGAATAAAGGGGAAAAAAACCAAAGAGGTGAAATTCTAAAAAGATAAATTAAATAAGTACATAAAATCATTTGGGTTCTCATCTTTGAGAAAATACAGATAAAGGGGGGATTTACAAGATGTCAAAGTAAAGGGAACCCAAACAGAGCTCAACTAACAACCCTGGGTCAGACTGTCAGGAATTGGATGAGGGTCACCAACTCCTACCCATATTCAGGAGGTAACATGAAACGCCAGCTGGAATGGCAGGCAGGGGACAGTACACCACGTGGTAAGTGAAGGATGCTGCCACTACATCCTCCAAATAAGGACACTTGTGCCAGTTCAAAAAGAGGAACATGGAACATTTCTAACTTTGAAATGCACAAAACCAATTCCAGGAAGATGCCTCTCTCTCTGGGCAGTTAGGCTGCTGCTACGCATCTGTCTCCAGCTGTCAACCCCTCCCCCCCAATATGTCAGGGAAAGGAGTCCTGATCTGACAAAGTAGAATTCCAAAAACAAAAAAATCACAAAGACTCCTTTCTCCTTTTATCTGAATATAAAAGATTAGAACAAGGACACACATCTTTTCTGGGCTCATCCTTTTATAAGGATGGGCAAACAGAGAAAGATGCCAGGATGTGTAAAAACATAGTTATTCAAACAAAAAGAAACAATGAGGAATCAGATGACAATTAGTGAATCAGAGACAAAGTTGATAAATTTTTCTGACAATTTGCTTGATATTTATCATGTTAGAGTGGGGGTGAACTGAATGCTTTATATAAGAAAAATGCATGCTATTAAAATTGATATTCAACATGAAAAGGAGGAATACTCTATCATCTATGTCAGAAAAGCACATTAATAACCTTCTTATGTAAAAAGTTCTTAGAAATCAATGAGAAAATGGAAAAATAGAGAATACAGTCATTTATATCATAGCTTTCAAATTTGCAATACCAAATGATGGCAAGTGTGGATACAACGAAAAGTGTCATACAACATCAATAAGACTATAGATTGATTAAAAAACTGTAAGACATTTTGGGAAATACTTGAAAAATGTGTATAATCTCAAAGCCATCAATTCCAGGCTTAGGAATTTATTAAGAAGTAATTAAAGCTGTGCACAAAGGTTTCAGTACAGTTACGGTTATTGCAGAATTATTTTTGTACTTTATAGCACGGCAGACCTCATAACGAGAATATGATTCAATAATTGTGGCAGACTCATAGAATGGACCAGATGAAACTATTAAAAATGAAGTTGCCCAAGATTAGGGAAAGACAGAGAAAAAGGTTCATAACACATGTTCAGGTGAAAAATACAGGCTACCAAACAGTAGGCACGGTAAGATTTCATTTTTATTTCATACACATACAGACACACACACATACACACAGACTCAAAATAGTGCCAAGAGTGGTTGTCTCTGAGCAATGGGATCCTGGATAGTATTTTATGATGACTTATTTATATTTTTCTAAGAATTATTCAATTAATGATAATGTCCAACCCTTACGGAGTGTTTTTTACTAGTCATCGGGCACCTCACTTATATTAACTAATTTGATGTCACAATAATCCTGTGACATAATTGCCATAATTATCTCCCAATGAGGAAACCAAGCAGAGGAAGGCTAAGTAACTTGCCCAAGGGTACACAGCTAGCAAGCGGTAGACTAAAAATTCTATCCCAGGAGTCCGATTCTGAAGCCTTAGTTAGTTATTTATTGTTTTTTCTTTTTTGTAATAAGACCAAAATGTCATTATCAGTAGTAATAAAAGAAACTTTTAAAACATAATTATAAGATAACAATGATTTAAGATGACAGTTATATGTTCAGAAGGAGAGAAAAAAAAAAGAGTGAAATAGGAAAGAAAAAAAAATTAGAAACAGACACCCCAATAGAGAAATGTGGTGATTAGAACCAGATACGTTAAAACATTTCCTTATGGGGGAAAAAATGACTTTCAGTTTTTCATTTTCTTTTTTTTTTTTTTAAAAGCCAATACCATGCCACTTGTTATGCAAGACCAAGGGACATAGAAAGATGAAACACAAAATGATGGGGAAGGAGCTACTAAGCAAAAAGGATCTGCCACTCTGCAACCAGAGAGGACACCCTGAAAGGCCAATCTGATCTCATTCATTCCTCGGCTCCTCATGTTATTCAGAGTAGAGGGTGAAGTCCTCACAGGTCTCGCGGGATCTGCTAAGTGCCCCCCATCCCACCTCTTCACTGATCTCGCTCTGGATACACAAGTACTGCAGTGTTTCCCTGAAAATAAGACCTACCCCCAAAATAAGCCCTAGCAGGATTTCTATGCATTTGTTAAATATAAGCCCTACCCTGATAATAAGACCTAGTGATGGGCGTGGCTATGCAGTGTAAATGCATAGCCATGCCTTGCATTTCAGCGGAGTGGTAAGAAGACTGGAATGCCTTTTATCTGCCAAAGCTCCTTTCTCCAAGCCATTTGCACTTCTGTGGTGCGTGTGTGGTAACTGTGGTTGTAGGCATCCTATTGCACGTGTGCGAACTGCTAGGGGAAAGGAGTTCATGCATCACTAGTGTCAACCCCACCAACAAGGTCGGCTCCCCCTGTCAGGTTCCAGAAGAAGATGACTTAATTGTATTTGAATAAATGTAAATTGTTGTATTATACTTCATAAAAATAAGACATTCCCTGAAAATAAGCCTTAGCTTAGTGTGCCTTCTTGAGAAAAAATAAATATTACACAGTGTCTTATTTTCAGGGAAACATGGTACCTTACTGCTGCTCAAACTGCCAGGCACGCTCTTATCTCAGGGCCTTTGCACTTGCCGTCTCTGTCCCGGACACTCTCTCCATAGATAGTTATATGACTCACCCCTTCAGGCCTTTGGTCTACGTTCCCTTTTCAGTGAGTTCTTTCCTGAGCATTCCATAAAATCAGAATACCGCTCCCCTCGGCATTCCCTATCCCCAATTCGTATCTGTTAATACTTCTCTAGCCAGCACTTGTGGGCCTCGAACATGCTATGCTTTGTTATTGTTCATTTAAAAAGATCTGTTTCTTTTTCTTCAAATGGAAAGAAAACTCCACAAGGCCAAGGATTCTTGTCTGTTTCGCTCACTGGTGTTTCCTCAGCACAGCAGGTGCTCACTGTGTGTATTCAGTGAAAGAATAAATGCCAGCAACGAGGTAAAATGATAGGGAAAGGCGTTAACTGCGACAAAGACAACTTTATGCCAGCATAGTTACAGCTAAAGAGTTATGCGGCTAATAATATTGCCACATGTATATAAGGCAAAAATCAATAGAAGTGAAAAAAATTACTTTAAACAATTTCACTGGAAGAAACTTAATAAGCACTATATATTTAGCTGAAGCAAACAAAAAGTAGAAAGGCAGAGAAGATCTATGTTACAGTACAGTGGGATGAATCAATGTTAAAACGCATGCCCTACAAATAGTAAATACGAATACCTTTTTATTAAACTGTTCACAGAATATTCAGCAACTCTGAACACACACCCAGCTAAATCGAAAACGAAATTGAAAAGAAAAAAAGAGAGAAAGAAAGAGAAGTGCATAGGCCATATTCTCTTATTAGAAAGCACTAAAACCATAATTGGACACTAATAATAAAAATTTAAGTGAAAAGCTAATTCTAGAGGTAAAAAAACATGCCTAAAGAAAAGCAGATTACAAAGGAAATTAAAAACACAACCGTGGACCTGGAGGAAGCAATAAAACGTCGGAAGGAGATAAACCAAAACTTGGAGGAAATGTTTATACCCTCGGATTTTTTTGTTGTTGTTCATGACTCTAAAGAGCAGGGTAAGGTAAAAAGGAGAAAAAACGAAATTAGCCAAATAGGCAACTGAGATTCAATGACAACCACGGAATAAACCTACCGGAAAGCAGAAAGCAAACACAGAATCTTTTGGAGAAGATAAATAAATAAAATAGATGGGAAAATCAAGGAGAGAGAAAGGAGACGGCACAGATGAACAAAATTAGAAACAAAGGAGAGGAGATGACAACGAATAAGAGAGCAGGTGGCAAAGAGGCAGAGCAGGCGCCCGGGGCTGGCGCGGCACATCTGGGGCCGCTCACAGCTGCTCCCACCACGCGGTCTGCAATTACAGCACAGAAGAGCCGGAGGAGCCCGGCCCTGCCCAGATGGGGAAACTGAGTCTCGGAGAGGGCTTGTGACTCACCCGAGATGACAGAGTGTTACAAGAATCCCCAGGACGAGAACCCCAATGTCTAGGATTTGATACATTTAGAGCCAAGATGGCAGCATGGAAGTCTGGTCTCTAAATCTGCAGGGGACCTTTATCTGCAAAGTCTGAATAGGACTTTTATTTTGCAAAAGTTCCCCTCCGACTAGTTTTTCATCAAATTTACAACTACCCCCAGCAGCAGACAGTGGATAGGGGCACCATAATCGGTCTGATGAATGGGATAATCCCCACCGAGAAGGCTGTAGCACAGAGGGGTGAAGTGACCTGTCTGCAGTCACAAAGCCTTGCCCAGTTAGAAGAGCCCAGGTCAAATCCTAGCCGTCTACTCTCTAGCGATTTTCAACTGGGGTGCCACGTCACATGTGCGGTAGGAGGAGCTTAGGTGGGCCATGAAAATTTTAAATATTATTAATTAAATTACTTTCAAAAGAAGTTCAAAGCACAGTCAGTATATTCTTTTCAAAGCACAGTCAGTATATTCTTTTTTCACTCTTTTTTTTTAAATCAACATAATTTAAGTGTGCTGCAGAAGTTTAACTACAGGTTCAAGTGGACCATGAGATAAAAAAAGGATAGAAAACACTGCTCTAGCCCTTGGCCTATCCACATGAGGAGGCAGAATGGGATCTGTATGTGCTTAGGCTCTGGCATCTAGAGACCTGGGCCTGAACCCAGCACCGGCACTCACACATTGCTCAACTACTCTGATCCTTAGGAATAATGATTCCCTTATAGAATTAATGGAAGAATTAAGTGTTAAAGTGTGAGGCAGTAATATTTTGGACTAACTCCTGATTCTTAACCACCCCTTATCCTTAAGCCATTTTTACCCGTCTGCTCCCTGCCATCTGCTTCAGGGGAATGGACAAGGCAGGTGCCAGCCCAGGGTGAAGATGTGGCACATATAGGAGAAGCCCTGCCCTCGGGGCCTGGAGAACCTTGAGAAGGAGCAGGGAGAGGAGGTGGGTGGGTTACATGGGGAGAACGCCCAGTTGGAGCCCTGGCCAGAGACCTGCCTACGCCCTGGCCAGAGACCTGCCTACGTAGAGGGCAGTATCACCACCACCACCCCGTCTTCCCCCTGCACCCAACTGTCCGTGAATGAAACTCAGAAATGAGGGGTCCTGGAAGTGCTGAGAGTGGCCTGGGAGTGGGACAGAGAGGGCACTGTGTGGAAAGATGTCACAGGAGGCAACAGGCTAGGACCAGGGACTCAGGATGAAGCCAGCACACAACACCCCCAAGCCAGGCAGGACCAACTCTGCCTCAGTGGGCACTGGTCTGGGACCAGGCAGCAGGGCTCCTCTGCAGCAGGGAAGACCAGCAGCTGTCTCATGCAGCAAAGGGCGACTTCTACGCCACTGCCACCGTGAGGTCACAGCGCTACATGAGACTAAGTCCCTTAGTGCAAACAAAGAAGCTACATTTTGTTCTACATCTGATTACTGCTGTGTAAATGTGTGACTCTGGGACACCTGGAAGCGTTCAGCCCAAAGCTTAACATCTAGTAAGAGTCAGTAAGTGGTAGCTATTGTTATTATAATTATTATCATTATACCTCCTGGGGATCATACTCACTTTCTCTTTAACCTCTCTGAACTTGACTTACAGAGGGGGAAAAAAAAAGAAATCACCCACTCTGAGTGAAAGAGGTAGACCTCATGCAAAGATAAATCATCCATATATTAGGGGGAAAATGCAAAACTTGGAGGGAAAAAAACAAAAAAGATGACTGTGTGGCCTTTTAATGTCATGTCAGAGCAGAGCTTTTAAAATTAGGTATCTCCTCCTCATTGTAATATCACTTTGTTTAACTTTTTAGTCACCAGGGAGTCAGGCCCAGCTGGCCTCCCTAGTTTGCAAATATAGATGTCAACTTTTAGAAAACTGGGGTGACACCTTGTTTTTCCAGTCTGACAGACAAGACCACCCCAAAGATTATGATTCCAATGCCCTGTTTAATAGCTGGTTTTATATTGAATAGAGCAGTTATTCCAGCATTCCTTCTCCTGACTGTGCAAACATCCCAAAGCTTCTGTAGAATCAGCCCTCATCCTGCTGCTTCCTCCTTAGTGAGTGAAGGACAACCTTGACAAACGCTCCCCATCTACTCTATGAAAACTGTGTCCGTAACCATTTGTGAATTATGCGTTCACACGCCTTTTGTAGGGGGCTCACTCCTGTCTTCTTCCTGTCTCTCATCATGGTGTCATTGTTATGGTGTCATTGTTATTTCTACCATTTCTTATTTGAGGTTTATGTTCCCCCTCTAGCCCTTGGCCACAAGCCAAGCTCCACCAGGGTGTGTCTGTCTGTACCTTGCTGTGTCTCTAGCGACTAGACGCCCCCAGACACTCAATATGCAGAAGGTGTCAAAACATGCATACACCTTTTATGAAAGAAAAAACTGTACTTAAGATTGTAATACTCAATTCATACCAATAACAAAAGATGAATGCAGACCGCATTGAGCTCCTCTTGTGAAAGTCAAATATGACTTGAGTATTACAAATTTAATACAATTTTTTCCTTACTTAAAATGTGTATACATTATTTTGGCACCTGGAGAAAAGCTTATGGTAAATATGGAACAGAGATGAGAAATTGTAAGGTGAACAACAGAAAAGCACACGGGTGGGGTCCAGATAGTACATTCTCTTTCTTGGTAGACCAGTTAGATTTTTATTTTCGCAATTTTTTTTTTTTTTTTTTTTTTTTTTTTTGGCTTTTTGGCCTGGGCTGGGTTTGAACCCACCACCTCCAGCATATGGGGCCAGCACCCTACTCCTTTGAGCCACAGGCGCTGCCCTACATTTTTATTTTCTTTCACTTATAACTGAAAAAGTCCTGAAGGAGACAATTCAGAAATGAGGTAATTTATCTTAAAGAAATAATAGGAGTCCTAATGACCATTCCCCCCACATTACAGCGCCAGGATGGACTATCTCTTCTGATTCCTTTCCTCAGATAACTGAAACAGCTGCCACCACCGCTAGTCTTTTGGAGAGATGTTTTGGTTTTGCCATGAGATGGAAGCACAGCAAATATTTCAGCATATAGAGAACACTGAAGTTGAACAAGACCATGATTTCTCAGGCTTGCCGAGAACTCCCAATTTGCTCATATCTTTTGAGCAAATTGTGACAGCCCTGTAATGCCCATGGGCCCAGTCAAATCCTAGAATTGTGTAAAGTGGGGCAGATGTAATAAAATAGGGCGGGGAAAGGACTGTGACAAATAGAAAATCCATGTCCTGTCTAAGAGGGGGATTAACTGTTGGATGGTTCTCAATGGCTGCCTTCCAAGGCCCAGAATTTTAACTAACTCTAGGTTCAGATTAGTCATTAATTTTTTTTCTCTTCTTCTTTTTTTTTTTTTTTTTAACATGAGAAGCAAATAAAACATGTCTGTGAGGATGATCCGACCTGGCAGCTATCACTTTGGGACTCTGTTTTAAGTATTTCACTTTTAGGAGAAAAAGGAAAGACGCATGAGCCCACGTTGGATGGAGCAGGCTGTGTTGTCTCTTTCAAAGCAAAGTCTTCCTTACCAGCCATCGACACCGGCTTTCTGCAGTTCAGAAATGCCAAATGACAGAGATCCCATGAAGTCATTCCTGCTGGTCAGATCCCAATCCCAAATCTCTACGGACAGTCTCCTGTCTTTATCTGATTCTTTCAGTTGACTGCAAAGAGAGAAAAAAGAAGTCAGATGAGGTTGTAGTGATTTTTCAAGCAGAAGAAATGTACAAGAGGACGAGACCTGGAGGTAGAGATTTTTAAAAATTACAAGCTACTGTGAGAAACATGCTCAGTTTCCATCCCAGGCTGGCTCTCCAGGGAGGCAGAGCTTTTCCTCTTAAATAGGCAGAGGCCCTCGACCAACTCCAACAGGGGCTGTTCCAACCGCTTTGGCTCTCTTGTGAATTAATAGGGTTCATGGTTTGGGAACTCTTATTGACAGTCAATACAAGAGATATAGAGATATCATTTATATAGTTGGGTGCATAAGTGTATTTCAGGATGAGCTTGAGGAGATGTATGAAGAAAAATCTTGGCCAAGTGCAGTGGCTCATGCCTGTAATCCTACTGCTTCGGGAGCCAAAGTGGGTGGATTGCTTGAACTCAGGAGCTTAAGACTGGCCTGAGCAAGACCCAGGGCTACTAAAAATAGAAACACTAGCCATGTGTTGTGGCAGGTGCCTGTGGTCCCAGTTACATGGGAGGCTGTGGCAAGAGGATTGCTTGAGCCCAAGAGTGTGAGGTTGCTGTGAGCTATGAAATCACAGCACTCTACCCGGGTGACAGAGTGAGACTCTCTGAAAAGAAAAGAAAAGAAAAGAAAAGAAAAGAAAAGAAAA